AAAACAACTGTACTGTATCTCTAGTAATCAATGCTGCGACTACCATAAAACAACTGTACTGTATCTCTAGTAATCAATGCTGCGACTACCATAAAACAACTTTACTGTATCTCTAGTAATCAATGCTGCGACTACCATAAAACAACTTTACTGTGTCTCTAGTAATCAATGCTGCGACTACCATAAAACAACTGTATTGTATCTCTAGTAATCAATGCTGTGACTACCATAAAACAACTGTACTGTATCTCTAGTAATCAATGCTGCGACTACCATAAAACAACTTTACTGTGTCTCTAGTAATCAACGCTGCAACTACCATAAAACACCTTTACTGTATCTCTGGTAATCAATGCTGCGACTACCATAAAACAACTGTACTGTATCTCTAGTAATCAATGCCGTGACTACCATAAAACAACTGTACTGTGTCTCTAGTAATCAATGCAGCGACTACCATAAAACAACTGTACTGTGTCTCTAGTAATCAATGCTGTGACTACATTAAAACAACTTTATTATATCTTTATTAATAATACTGTGACTACAACAAAAGATCCTTGGCAATCAGGACTAATTATTGAATCATTAATGAAATATACAGACAAATATTTTAAAACTATTAATAAGATAGAACAACAAACTTTATATACTTGCAATTTTAGCAATTGCTCTGTAACACAATTAACCAACCTTTGGGTTTCTCCGGTGCTCGCTTCCTAAGTCCTGTGAAAGGGATCTCTCCTCCACGCTGTATTTCTCGGTACCAAGCTTTCTGCTGTTCAGGATCCACCATATCAGTTTTCCCAGTTTTCTTTATTAACATTGAGTCACTTTCGTAACCATCAGAGAAGATACTTGAAATTAAAAAGAACAAGTTATGAAAACTTTCAAGCACTATTTTGTTTCCCTGTTTTTAACTATAAAGAAATGAATATATAGTATCAAATACAAAGATTAACAGTGTGAAACTGTGTGCACTTTCTTTATCTTAAATCAATATTGCATGAGAAAAATACTGATCTTATGAGGCAGTTGGTATTTAGTATTTCATTAAATCAATATAGCATGAAACAAATGTTGATCATGTGAAGTTTTTTATGTATTTTTTACATAAAATTAAAATAGCTTTGGGTAAAATAGTTAGCCACATGAAACTGTTTGTGTGTTCTTAAACAAAATCATCATTCATCAGAAATATAAGATATATCTCCTTTCATATCTGATATTTGGAACACGTTCCTCACGTACTGTGTTTCTTTAATAGTGATAGTACCTCTGAGATAAATTATTCTGTACAAGCCACAATACCCTTTATTATAAAAATATTCCTAAAATTATCTTACGTAAACAGTTCACAACCAAAGAAAAGCAGACTTACTAGGGCTGTTTTGGACAGTGGTCTTGCTGGAGAAGAGATCTTTGTTTTTGCTTAAAATATAAAATCAATATGTCAATTAGAACAACTCCCCTAATAAATATTGTGCTTGAATCAATGCTAATTTTTTAAGACTGATTTTGTTAAGGTTTCAAAGAGCACTTTGCATATAATGAAGAATGTCTGACCACATAGTATCACATAAAAGACATAAAAATATGACAGATAAACATTTAAAACATGTTTTTTCTTGAAAATTGAATATTTCTTTTCTTAATGGATCAAGTCTTAAAATATTAAATTTATTGCTTTTATTCAGTTACATCAAAGTCATCTTTGAACATTGTTGTTGATGAGAGTTTATAGAGAAACTCAAATCTTTCTGTGCACTTCAAACCAAACAACAACAACTCAGAATTTACATCAAAATCAAACACTGTTGATGAATCTGTATAGAAAAACAAATTGTCATTATCCTTCTGTGCACTTCAAACCAGACAACAACTCAAGACTTTACATCAAAGTCAAACATTGCTGCTTAGTCTATATAGACTGGTATGTAAGACCTATTTTTTTTAATGAATTTTTTAGTTTTGTGCTTAAATTTATTGTATTCAAACACAATCTGAACTAACCTTTTCATTGTAAACTTCTTCCTAGATAATGATAAGTACATGGAAATAAAACAGGCACAGAACATTAAAGACAATTACTCGAAAACAGCATTTATTATCCTCTGAAAACTTTTATACAGCAAAATGTTCAACAATGAAAAAAATTATACCTTGAAAAAAACATTAAAGGGTTTAATAATGGCTGGAGATGGCTTGAATGGGTAATGAAGAAAAAACTTATATTAAAGTTTTTCTTCATTACCCATTCAAGCCACCTCCAGCCATTATTAGTCTCAAAGTGGGTTCCTCGTCATCGAAATTAAAGGGTTTATCAATAAACAAAATGTTTTAATATCTACACTAACTGTCGTGAAACCACTGTTTAATACAGGTGTTCATCCTTCCCCTAAGTAACAATCATATACTAGTTTTTGATAATTTAAACTGAGATAAGTCACATGTTCACCACATTTTTCTAGTAATTTATAATTCTGATTTTTAAAACAAAGTGTAAGGGTACTGATACACTGTCAACCAGTCAAGACAGGCTCTCTATATCAGATGCATTGCTATTGTAGCTAGAATTACATGTTGCAAGAAATTTATGGTTTATGACAAATGGTGTAGCTACAAAAGATACCACCCCTTGCATAAAAAGTAATTTCCTTATATTTGTAATTATAAATCTAGCCGATTCTGGCACCCTTTTGGCTTGGGCTTCCCTGAAATTGTAGGAGCATACTTACACCACAGTTTACAACACATTTTTCATCAGAACCTTTTAAATATTGGAAAGACCAGTGAGAAAAAGAAGAGAATACTGTTATTAACTTATATTTATTCATTAGAATGAAATATTGGAAAACAAAGAAAAATTACGTTACAGACCTTGTTATGTGACCACCCTCTTGTAAAGAAAAAAAAAGAAACTTCAACCAGGTATTAATTCATAAAAATTAAAGCTTTGATACTTTTCTATGAAAGCTGAATTCAGCTTACAACAAAACAAAAGTTTATGTGTGTGTATGCATGAAGTACGGTTGTCACTAAGAACTCAGAAAAAATAATGAAACTATACCAAAAGCCTATGGAAACTAACAAAAATATGAAAACTTAAAATCAAAAATGTTCCATGATAGTAACTTTTTTTTTATTATTATTATAAATTTGATAGCCATTTATATATCTGTGTGTTATTATATGAAAAGAAAGATACTAATAATTTTCAGGCAAATATTAATATTAATTTTGTATGATGCCAATATATTATTTAGATTGGCCACTAGTCAAATTACATATGTAATTATTAAACTGGAATGGTTACTACTTCACAAAACGAAAATCTCTTAAGACAAAAATTCAAATCTTGAGGATGAAAAACTTACTAATTTGGCTTGCTTTTGAGCAATGGATGATTTACCAGGTTCATATTCTGCTATGCTGTAAGGCTGATTTTTGTACACTTCTTCACATGTCCGTTGTGAAGGTTGGAACTGAGACAATTGAAAACTGAATTTAAAAAAAAAATATTAATTCTTAAATGTCTCAATAATATTTCTTAGGAATTTTATGTGTCAACAAGAAAGATAAAGGTATAGCAGGATGTGCTTAGAGTCTAATTTAAAATCTTAAAAAAAATGTAACAATTATTTCTAACTAATACAGAAATGGAAATTCAAACTGAAAGTATTGGACACTACATTATATTGAACATATAAATACAATATCTCAAAACAAGAAGTATCCCAACCAGAACAAATATAAACAACAGCTGGAACTAAATTGAAATTCAACACTGCATATTTTTTCTGCAAAGCGGTTCATAGAACGGCTCCGAGTTGTTTTTTTTTTTTAAGTACAAACTTTTAGCTTGTAGCTCTGTCATCTTTTGACCAATTTGAGACTTAATTACAGTTTGGGACTTAGGAGTAAAAGTACACATATGACATACTGCTTTTATTTAGCAAGGTTTTCTGTTACATTAATGAAAGAAGTAATTACATACAATAAAAGCTAAGGATTTCAATTGTTAAGTTTTCAGATGGTACATACTGTTTCAAAAGTTGAACTTCATACACACAATATACTTCTCATGACTCTTAATATAAAGTGTATATAGAACTTGGATAGTCCACCTTATAACTAACCTCGTATTTTCAAATTTAAACTTTCTATCAAAAAACACCTTTATGAATACTTAACTATTAGGAACTCACTTTCGTTTCTCCTGCAGAAGTTCTTTAGGCCCTCGATCTCTGTCTTGTTTAGAACGATGTCCATAGATTGTGCATTTGGAACCTCGAGTATAATCTGTGAAAAAGTTACCTTTGCTTTCATATATACTCAGATAAAAATGAAAACAACAGAAAGCATGACACTACAAAGAAAAAAATGGATAAAATTACAAGTACTGTCTTTATCCTTCAAACCTAAAATTTACCTATATCAAGGAGATACCTGAAGTACAAATAGTACCAAGGTAATTCTAGGTCAATCTAGAACCAAGACCATACAAAGCAAGAAATTAAGTAATATGATAAAATAAGTAAAAAGTAAACCATCAGTTAACGTAACTAAAATTTATACAAATCATCATCTTCACAGACAGGTAGAATCATCTTTACATAAAAGTCCAGACTGAGATAACAAAGTATCAAAAAATAAACTTGCAGCTGCTTTTATGTAACCTTCTACAAATTATTTCCCCAATACTGTTTAAATGACAAAAGTTGGCAAACTATTGGAAACCAATAGACCTTAAAATTGTTATAAAAAAATCAAGTTAACTTAAAAAAAAATGCAGACAAATTAATTTTTATGAAATATATTCCCAACATCTTAAGCTTTTTTTCACAGACATTTAGCTTAATTCTTTATAATTGAATGGATGTATAATTTTCACATTACACTCATTTGAAATACTTTATTATACATTTTACTAATGGTAATTATCAGTCATCATTCAAATGATAAATAAATCAACTGCCATACTTATTCATCTTCTACTAATGTTTAGTCACTCTTGTGCCACTTTAGATCACTATTTAAAAAAGTTGTGTACAACTTCTTATTTTATGTTACATTACACATGTCACACTAGCAACAAGTATCTTGTAAACAGTAACAACAAAAAAGAATACATAAATGCAATCTTAGTTTGTTTTCAACATTTCAACTTACCCTTTCTGTCATACTCAGGCTCAGACACATATCCACCAGCATGAGAAACCTTCCCTAAGAAGAAAAAAAGAATCTTATCTAATAACAAAGCTTACATACATGAGAAAGAATGAGAAATCACCTCAAATTAATTAAAAGGATAATATTAAACACACTCCTTTAAGGAGCTGAGATTCAAAACTGCTGGAGTCAACATTTCTGTATCAACTTTTCCATATCTTTATTTAATAATTGCAATTACAAAAATACAGCATCATTTTTATTTTATTTTACAGTAATAGTCTTGTCGAAAATATATTAGCTTACATCTATCTATAATATTCATTAAAACTTCAGTAACTTAATTTATGGTTTGATATTTGTTCAAATTATTATATAATATCTCCAGCTGTTCTCACCTGTAAGTTAAGAACAATTACATAGCAACTGCATCTGTTCTTACTACAAAATTAGATACTGTGGTGTAAACTTCAGGAATCATAATGTTACAACTACAGCTATTCTTACCACTAAATTAGGAATTGTTATATAGCAGCTGTAGCTGTTCTTACCACCAAGTTATAAACTGTTGTGTAACAACTTCAGAAATCATAATGTTACAACTGCAGCTGTTCTTACCAGTGAGTTAGGAATTGTTGTGTAACAACTGCAACCATAGAAGCCATGATGATTTCTAAATTCAGGGGCAGCTGTTTGCTGTTAAAAGAAGTTTACTTACATCTAATTTTAGTACATTTGTTTTTCAGTTTGCTGAATAGAAAATTAAGCTAGTAAAAAGTGCCTAATGATATAGGGTTTGTATCCTAACTATGGTTTTGGAAAATACAATAATAGTGTTTGATAAAATCTATTGAAAACTTTGAAATATTTAAAAACAGTATAAGAAAATGAAGTCTTGTCATACTGTGCTACTGAATGTATCATTCATTACACATGCAAGTATACAGGAACATCAGCAAGGTAGCATTAATTGTTCACATGATGTGTGGAACCCCAGAGTCACTGGCTTGGATCCCACTTGTTTGATAACCTACATTATAGCATGTTATTGTAAATTTATTAAAACATTTTTAAATTTGAAATACATAGGAATAAAAAGGTATTGGTAATTTAGAATATGTAATGCAGCCATGAAATCTCATTCTGATAACTTTTGACTTACAAGTGACTCCCAAAGTTTTGTTGGTACCCATGTTATTAAGGATGGGGTGTTTAAGCTTAAGAAACAAATTCTTACAATTTTTAAATAATAAAAATATATTTTAATGAGCATATTAGTTTTGTGACATGGCAGGGGTGCCACATAGAGTAGAAGAGGAATGAGGGGTGGGAGATTCATTCCCAAAAGTTCATCATGTACTTCCTCCCCAAAACAATTATTACTACCCTGAACATCTCATTAAGTTTTATGCCATACACAAGCAATATGCAAGTTTAATATACATCTACCGATGAACAGTACACTGAGTGGTCACAAGTAAATAGACACCTTAATTTTTCG